CTTTCTCTCTCACACAGGCACACACAGCCTCTCTCTTTCTCTCTCACACAGGCACACACAACCTCTCTTTTTCTCTCACACAGGCAAACACAACTTCTTTCTCTCTCTCTCTCTCTCTCTCTCTCACACACACACACACTTTCTCTCTCTCTCTCTCTCTCCATCCCAGACACATTCACAGTCTCTCTCATAGACGCACACGAACATAATCACAAAGACGATTCCTTTCAAATAACCCAAATCGTCAAACTTGTCGAACAAGGCTCTTTTCTTTTTTTTTTTTTTTTTTTTTTAAGCCATCGTCTCATTGTCGTCTGTTTTCTTCAAAACCAATGCTGGTCAAAATAATCATCTTTCCAAATTGCAATTTTTTGCTGAAATTACCGTCTGCCTCTTCGCTTTCCATCTTTTTTTTTATGTGAAGGAAAGCAAAAAAAAAAAAAACAACAAAAAAAAAAACAACTACCTATTTTATTACAAATGTCATCTACATTTGAAGAGACAATAAACTGTTTGTGTACGCCTGCCATGACACCCACAATGTGTATGTGTGTGTGGAATCACGTTTGAACGTAAAGGACTGCTGGGCGCGTTTTGAATCGTTTTGAGACGCTTATTTATGGGGCTGGGCCAACAGATCGTAAAATCAGGGATCCCATTATTAGTTTAATGCATAACATCTCAGATGACAGAAATGAAGCATAGTGTCAAACAGATAAATATAATCCCGATGATCATTCTGCTGAATACGCAGTGTCTACTAAAGCATGCGATAATATAAATTTAATTATTAGTCATTTAAATATTGTCCGAATTTCTGCGATTAGCCCGAATTACTGTAGGGTTATTCGTAGTGGAAGATATAATTCTTATATGGTGTCTTTCTATCGCAAAAGTTGACAAGACTGGATTTGTGTTTTATAGATTATTGTGTAATGTTTGGGTCCTGGTAATGTCATTAATGGATTATAGAAAACATGGGCAACCTTTTTCGAAGTCCTCGAGGACACATGGCCCAGTGGATATAAGAGTTGGTTGAATACGATGATTTGACCCAAAGAGTTGGGAGTTCAATACCTTGCTACAGAAGAGGTGAACAAAAAAAAATCTTAGAGATTTTAATTAAAGGAAGATAACTGAGACCTAGGCACCCGGAAGAAGCATGGCACGTGGAACTAGAACAATCTACCCCGGTGGACGAAATAAAGGGTTCAGTTCGAAATTCCAATCACCTGAAGAAGGCCACAGCGTACAACGGTCGAAACGTCATGACTCCGGCAAAGTGAGTATTGAACTCACACTCTTTGGGTCCTGTCGCTGGATCTAGCTAACGCCTTTATCCACTGTGCCATGTGTCCTCAAGGAATTAACAGGAGATAGCTGAAATCCATTAGGCATGTCACGTGGAACTAGAACTGTCTAACCCAGCGAGCGAAATAAAGAGTCCAGTTCGAAATTCCTACCACCTGAAGAAAGGCCGGAGCGTACAACGGCCGAAACGTTGTGATAAACATGGCGACAAAGATGAGGAAAATCGTCCGAATAATGTAAATAGTGTGCATAATACCTCATCTAAGATATATAAACAGATAAAAAATGAACGGAAAACTTGGAGAGGGGAATTAACAGGAGATTACTGATAACTGACATCAATTAGAATTAGAACAGTCTACCCCAGCGAGCGAAATAAAGGGTTCAGTTCGACATTCCAACCACCTGAATAAGGCCGGAGCGTACAACGGCCGAAACGTTGTGATAAATATGGCAACAAAGATGAGGATGATAGTCCGAATAATGTAAATGGTGTAGATAATACCTCATTTCAGAAATATAGACAGATAATGTAAATAGTGTAAATAAAAAAAATTAAAATCGAACAAAAACTGTAGGTAAAAACAAATTAGGTAGACGTAGACTAATAATGACTAATTACAATGTCTGTGGAGGTTCAGTGTGTCACCAATTGTTGATTCTCTCTAAAATATCGATGTGAGAGTCGAATTTGTCCATTTTTTTCCCTTCTCTTCCTTTTTCCAATTTTGTGTAATTTACTGTTTTCTTAATATTTGTATTGTTTGAAACTCATGCGATCAGCGACAATGTGTTCGCTTGGCTTTGTGCATCGTCTGCCGCAGCGACATTGTCACCGAATCGACAGATGGAACACTAATTAGAATCCAATTAAAGATTTCAACATTGACCCTAATGGGTTCACGGTTAGGAAGACGCAGCGTCTTTAGATGAGTATAGGTGTACATAGTAAATAACTCTTCATCTGTGTGCCCGCGCACAAATACACACACCATTTATTTCTCTGTATCTCTCTCCCTCTGTCTCATATATATATATATATATATATATATATATATATATATATATATAAAAGTCAACATTCATAGGCGACAGGCTGTTTCATGCTAGACGCAATCGTCAGGCGACGACTGTTGTTTTTTGTCTCGGCTATTTATATATACGGGTCAGTGGTGCATTGTGGGTAGTCTATTTTGGCGGGTGTCGTTTATTTGTTTATTTATTTGGGTTAAATTATTAAAAACTTTTATTTATTTTTTATTTTTATTTCTTATCTTATATATTTATTTATTTATTTTTATTTTAATCGGTGTTTTATTAACGTAGCAAAAATTTGTTTATATCGCTTATTTAATAGTTTTGTTTTGGTTTGGGAAGATAATTAAAGCTATTTATTCAATTCTGGGGTTGATTGCTGTAGTTTATTCTAACTATTATTTTGGCGGGAGCGAAAATAATAGTTAGAATAAAAATAAATAAAAACAAGCAAAATAATTTAACTTTAACAAATTCTATTTCTAGAGATGTAATGATCTTATGCAGGAGGATGCAAAAGTAGGTATACAGTAATGAAAAAACGTTCGCACAAAACATATTGTATTGATTATACAAATATATCGATAATAAATATATTCATCTCTCAAATATTGAAACAGCATTTACACAGTACTCTTTACCTGTAAAATATTTATTATTTATTAAAAAGAAAATTATTAAAAATTTATAATAAATGTATTGTAATAAAAATTAGGAAAACAAAAATATTAAAAATGATTTTAATGAATTAAATAAATTCTTGTATTAAATGGAACTTAGAACCACTATTAAAATACTGGTATAATACTTACCATATAACTTCTTTCAACTATCTATCCATATATATATATATATATATATATATATATATATATATATATATATATATATTAGTATATATTTAGGCAGCAATCCTTCGTTTATGCATGTTTCATAAAAACGACAGGCGATGTACTACGGTTAAGCTTTTTATTTAATTTCATAATTCACACACACACACCGCATTACCTTCAAAATATTTATTATTTATTAAAAACTAAAAATGTATTATTAAAAATGATTTTAATGAATTTAATGAATTCTAGTATTAAATGAATTGTAGTAACACTATTACAATACTGGTACACTATTGTAGAACTATTTTTGCAACTCCCTGTATGTAATATATGCTATTACATTGGAAACTCCTGACAAGATACTGTGGTTGAGTTTTCTTATATAATTTCTCATGTGTTTGTCTATATCCCGAAAAGAAAAAAAAATATAGACAATATGAGAAAGAAAATAGTCTGAATGTTTTCCAAGCGCTTTCGGCTAAACTTTCAGCCATTATCAAGGATGGAATTTATTTTAATTTTTACTCAATATATGGATAACTGTAGATCCACACATAAAACAATCCATATATTCCGTTAAAAGTAAAATAAAATTCATCCTTGATAATGGCTAAAAGTATAGCCGAAAGCACTTGGAAGACATTCAGAAATCTTCTTTTAAATATAATTTCTATCCTGAAAAGAAAAAGAAAAGTACACGAACACAAGAGAAATTATATAAAAAAAATACTCAACCGCAGCAACATGTCAGTTGTTTTCAACGAAACTTTCATAAAAAAGGAATTTTTGCCTATATATATATATATATATATATATATATATATATAGTTGTATGGATGTGAGCTCTGTCACTGATATTGATCATGAGTCGTTCTAAACTTCGTATAGTTGCTTTAATTTTGGGAGAAAATAAAAATAAAATCTGTCCAATATTTGGCTATTTTTTATTAGGCTGTTCTTTCATCTAAGCTTTCGGCTCACATGGAGCCATCTTTAGAATGATTATACGGGTATTTAAACAAAGATATTCACCATCAAAGATGATATTCTGTTATGCTGACATAGAATATTGCTATGCGACGATAACGGTTGCAGAATAGCAAACACAGGTCATTAATTCATGATGTGGTTCTATGACGTCATACCACGTGAGTGACTGAAATATTAACAGAATCGTATGTCTAGATGCAATGTAATGTGTTGTGACTAGTTTGAAATGTAATTTTGTTGAATGTGGGTTGCTTTGTTGAATATAGATGGCCTCCAATATCTGAAGGTTCTTTTTACTGCGTGTATGTGTGAGTATTGTTGTGTTATCAACTAATATCTCTCTCATCTTATGTATATGTCTGAACTGAATGACACGCGTGCGTCGAAAACAACTGGAGAGTCCTTATTTAAGTAGCGAACATTAATTTAAAAGAATTGATATAATTTGCTTAACTGATAACGAATGTCTGTTTAATTCTTTTGCTATATTTAGGTAGCAAACATTTACATAAAGTTGTATTAGTTAAAAAATTAAACGAACATATTTGCTCAATTAAATTATATACCTCTATCTATCTCTATATAATGATCGCTCAAGTCGTGAATCAGCAAGTTGCCATGGACTGAGTCACCAGAGACATCAGCGGCAAGGTAATCTGTAATAATATCATGGAAGTGATTGTACTCGGACACTAGTTGACTCCCCCTCCCCGTGTGCGTGTGTGTATAATCTGTGTATATGGGTGGGTGTGCAATTGTAGCTAACTGATGAAAAGAAGCATGTTTTATATAAGTATTTATTTTTAGAGTTACTTCAAAAAAAATGTCATGACAAATATTGACGTTTCTTTTTTATCATTTTCTTCATATTTATCCTTTTCCTTTTCTTTTTTCATTGCATCTTCTCTTTTTCTCTTTTTGTTCTTCTCTTTTTCTCTTTTTGTTCTTCTCTTTTTCTCTTTTTGTTCTTCTCTTTTCTCTTTCTTTCTTTCTTCTCTTTTCTCTCTTTCTTTCTTCTCGTTTCTCTTTCTTTCTTTCTTCTCGTTTCTCTTTCTTTCCATCTTCTCTTTTCTCTTTCTTTCTTTCCATCTTCTCTTTTCTCTTTCTTTCTTTCCATCTTCTCTTTTCTCTTTCTTTCTTTCCATCTTCTCTTTTCTCTTTCTTTCTTTCCATCTTCTCTTTTCTCTTTCTTTCTTTCTTCTCTTTTCTCTTTCTTTCTTTCTTCTCTTTTCTCTTTCTTTCTTTCTTCTCTTTTTCTTTCTTTCTTTCTCTTCTCTCTTTCTTTCTTTCTTCTCTTTCTCTTTCTTTTTTCTTTCTTTCTTTTCTCTTCTTTCTTTTTTCTCTTTCTTCTTTTTTCTTTCTTTCTTCTTTCTTTTTTCTTTTCTTTTTCTTTCTTTCTTCTCTTTTTCTTTCTTTCTTTCTTTTCTTTTTTCTTTTTCTTTCTTTCTTCTCTTTTCTTTCTTTTCTTTTCTTTTCTTTTTTCTTTTCTTTCTTTCTTTCTTTTCTTCTTTTTCTCTTTTCTTTCTTTCTTTCTTTCTTTCTTTCTTTTCTTTTCTTTCTTTCTTCTTTTCTTTCTTTTCTTCTCTTTTCTTTCTTTCTTCTCTTTTCTTTCTTTCTTCTCTTTTCTTTCTTTCTTCTCTTTTCTTTCTTTCTTCTCTTTTCTTTCTTTCTTCTCTTTTCTTTCTTTCTTCTCTTTTCTTTCTTTCTTCTCTTTTCTTTCTTTCTTTCTTCTTTTTTCTTTCTTTCTTCTTTTTTCTTTCTTTCTTCTTTTTTCTTTCTTTCTTTTTTCTTTCTTTCTTTCTTTTTTCTCTCTTTCTTTCTTTTTTCTCTCTTTCTTTCTTTTTTCTCTCTTTCTTTCTTTTTTCTCTCTTTCTTTCTTTTTTCTCTCTTTCTTTCTTTTTTCTCTCTTTTCTCTTTCTTTCTTTTTCTTTCTTTCTTTCTCTTCTTTTTTCTTTTCTTTTTTCTTCTCTTTCTTTCTCTTGCTTCTCTTTCTTTCTCTTTCTTCTTTCTCTTTCTTCTCTTTCTTTCTCTTTCTTCTTTCTCTTTCTTCTCTTTCTTTCTCTTTCTTTTTTCTCTTTCTTCTCTTTCTTTCTTCTTCTCTTTCTTTTTCTTCTTCTTTCTCTTTCTTCTCTTTCTTTTCTTTTCTTTTCTTTCTTTCTTCTCTTTTCTTTTTTCTTCTCTTTCTTTCTTTCTCTTTTTTTTTCTTCTCTTTCTTTTTTTCTTTTCTTTTTTCTTCTCTTTCTTTCTTTCTTCTTTTCTTTCTCTTTTTCTCTTTCTTTTTTTTTCTTTCTTTCTTTTCTTCTCTTTCTTCTTCTCTTTTCTTTTTCTTTTTTTCTTTCTTTCTTTTCTCTTTCTTTCTTTTCTTTCTTTTTCTTTCTCTTTCTTTCTTCTCTTTCTCTTCTTTTCGTTTTCTTTCTTCTCTTTTCTCTTTCTTCTCTTTTCTCTTTCTTCTCTTTTCTCTTTCTTCTCTTTTCTCTTTCTTCTCTTTTCTCTTTCTTCTCTTTCTTTTTTCTCTTTATCTTTCTCTCTTTTTCTTTTCTCTTTTCTCCTTCCTTTTCTCTTTTTCTTTTTCTCTTTCTTCTCTTCTCTTTTTCTCTTTTTTTTCTCTCTTCTTTTCTTCTCTCTTCTTTCTCTCTCTTCTCTTTTTCTTTCTTCTCTTTTTCTTTCTTCTTTCTTCTCTTTTTCTTTCTCTCTTCTTTCTCTTTATCTCTCTTCTTCTTTCCCTTTATCTCCCTCTCTTTTTCTCTCTCACTTCTTCTCTCTCTTTTTCTCCCTTACTTCCTTCCTCCTTTTCTTTTTTACTTTTCTTTATTTCTTTTCTTCTTTTTACTCTTTTTTTTTCCCGATTTATAGTCTATTATAACTATGCCAATTTTTTTTCTTCTTTGTTCTTTGTTTTCAAATGTCTGTTTTAATGGCTATATTAAAATTTTTTACCCTCAAGGAAATATATCTATTCTTTTCTTCGATTTCCTTTGATAAAATGATTTTTTTTTATTTAGTTTTTATTTTGTTTTTTTTTGTTTTTTTTCTGTTATTTCAATTTCTGTGTTTCTTTTTCTCTTACAGGTACGTGATTTTCCCAATCGATCACGGTTTGCCGAAAGGATATTTACGATGAGGAAGTGATGTTTTCTCTCGGCCTGGAGCCCCCTTTTAGTTCACATTATACAGCAGAATTTTCTCTTCGTTGGAAATGAGTTACACGTATTTATTCTGGCTCGGGATCGTTGTCCCGACTTCCATAACTGTTCTCTTGTTTATCCTCTTCCTTGTGTGTTGGTTCAAGTACAATTTACGTGAGAAATTCACCAGAAAGAAACATGACCCTCACCGGGTGAATCAAAAGTCCACCCGTAACCCCAAACCGCCGACCGGCCTCCCGCCACCTCCACCTGTGCCTAACCACCGATCCCGGGCCGACGACAGGCTACCTGCCCGGGTGATCTACTCGACCTACCACGACAGCGGTATGTCGGAACTGCACGAGATCCACTACAAATTCGACCGGCCGGTTTCCCAAGCATCAACAGATTCCGAAGATTCGGGTTTTCGAAGTTCAAAATCGGCTCACTACTTGCCAAACCGGTCGTCGGAACACAGTATACCTCAAGACATTCCTTTGCTGAAGCCAGTCAGTTCCAGTATGTTGCACGCGCAGCGCAACCCGGCCCTCAACGCGGCCGATGTCAACGGTGGGCCGTCGCATGGACATGCAAACAATGGCCCGGCTTCTGCCTCTTCTGGCATGAGCCAACTGAGCGGGCCACTTCCGTCAAGTTTTTCAGTCAATAAATTACCGTCTTCGGTGTCGGCGTCGTCCAATATCGGAGGCGACCGATCGCAGCCGCTTTCCCCACACAACGGACTCTTGAGCCCCGACGAACGGGGTCGGCCCTACCACTTTCATCGTTCCTTACCCCAGAGCCCGCTGACCGAAATTTCGGAAACACGCCCCTTACCATCATCCCAATCGACCCCACTGCCCTACCCACAATGGCGAACGGACCCCCACGGTACACCTGCGTTACAAAGAGAAGCAAAAAGCCAACAGACTGTAGTCGCTTTAGTTCATAGTCCCGAACAACAATCAGATATTAGCAGCCATCTTTCTTATGCCATTGTATAAAAACGAATCAAAAAGTAAAAAATTGAACTAATATTCTCCACGCCTTTTTCTTTACACTTTACAAACGTTTTGTTCTCTCCAGTTTCTTTCTTTCCCAAACTGTCCCAAGTTTATATTAATTCTTTAAAATAAAACCAAAAGCAGATATTTCCCCGCGATTGAGCCGAACACATACGAAAAAAAAAAAATGTCGGCTGAAGATAGTGAAGACAAGACAATATTCCCAAAAGCATTGGCTTTCATTTGCATACAAATCAAATAAACTGAATCAAAAACAAAAACCAAAACAAACTTAAAATCTTAAACAAATGTAAAATAAAGAAAAAAACTGTTAATGGAAAATTTTCGGGAAGAATGATTTTTATTTGGCAAACTGTTAAATTTTTTTTTAATTTTTACGGATGGTGCTCAAACTTAATGTATATAAATTTACTTAAATATTTCACAAATTTTAAAACTGTCTTTTTGTTCTTTTTATTTTATTTCAGGTACTTTATTGATTATTCTGATCCTGTTATAAATTTGAATTTTTGTTGATATTATTATTATTATTATTATAGACTCCCTGACAACGGGACTAAAAAGGCCTTACGGATATGAGGGATTGGTTACAAAGTCCGGATATGAGGGGTTATATTTAGATTAAAATAAAAGAATTGAAATCAGTTTTAACATTTATTTTCAATGTTTTATAATAAACAAAATAAACTAATGGGGAGTGAAATATAACGGAATTGATTTTAAGGAAAAAGAAATAAATTATGTAATGTTAATGAAAATTCATTAAATTAAGTATGCCACGTATGCAATTGTTCTTGAAATTATTTAAATGAAAGACACTTTTTAACTCTGCGTGTGTTATTGCAATCGTCATAGCTGAATGCCGGCTTTCTTTCCATAAAACTGACAACCTTTTCAGTATCTTTTTCAATTTCAGTCCAGGTTTCATCACAATCATGCATCTCGTTGCTATCTTGTTGCAGATGTGTCTCGTTGTCTTCCTTTCATTTTATTCCCATCATCCTTTGCACCAATACAAGCCATTAGGGGGAAATAAGCATAAGCAATTATCCAAGGTAAATTTTCTGAAAACAAATTTCAAATTAATTACATATCACCCAAATAATTCAAACGTATATATGAAAGTCATGTCCGGATATGAAGGATTCTACTGTATTATTGAATGTATTATGGTATTGTTGTAAACATCTGAATATCAAAGAAGATACTGTCTGTCAAATCAAAAGGACCCAGAAAAATAAACAAAACAGTGCATAACATTTCAGGTGGGGGTCATGTTAGAAATTTTGGGTAAATCCTGTCCGATCAGACGGTTTCCCATTGGGCTTTTCGCAAGTATCTTAATGTGACTCACAAATCTCCTTGCCTGTTTCATCTTTCAAATTTTAAAAATAAAAAAGAACAACCCTTTCGATACCCGGCCATGATCCTCCTCAACTACTCTTGTCCATGAACAGACATGCGCAGTACGTCAACACATAGGGACATACTCAACTGAATATGCTCAGGCAATTGACAAGCACATATTTGATACTTTTTTTTAATTGATGTTTACCCAATGCAAGGCTCAAGAGCTACTCAAGGTAGAGGGTTATTGTGTGGCGTTGCATGAGCGTGAGAAAGGGCAAGAAGTGAAGATCATGGGGCTGTACAGGCTGTACGGGAAAGATAACGGTTAATACTAGACTTAAAGAGATCAAGATTGTTGGGATTGAGAAAACAAAAGGATCGACCGACTTTAGCGGGGACCGGAAACCTCATCCTAAACCTCTACTTCCGTTCAAAAGAACGACAGGCGAACCTATCTACTCCTATTGAGTGAAAAAAAAATAGGGAGTAAAATTTTAGAGTTTAGGCTATGTTAGAAGTGTAGAGTTGAAGTAGACTTTAGAAGGAACTGGAAACCCAATCCTAAAGAGGAAACAAGGGATAAGCTTCTACTCCTATTAAAAAAACAAAAAAAAAAAAACTATCTACTCCAACTGAGGGGAAAAAAATAAATAAACTTTCAGAGTTTAGGCGGAGACGATACAAGTATAGAGTTGATTTAGACTTTAAGATTGGGTTTTCGGTTCTTTCTAAACAGGAAACAAGGGATAAACCCTTACTCCTTATCAAAAGACCATGAAGTAATGATTTATAAAAAAAATAAGTCTGTTTTTGTGAGGAGGACCATGAAGTAATGATTTATGTAGTCAATAAAAGTCTGTTTTTGTGGTGAAGTCTTGTTGACACCATATCTCAATTCCAGAACTCTTCGAGGAATACTTTATTACTGCTTTTTATATCTTTTTACTCCAAGTAAGGCAATAAAGTTACTAAGACGCAAAGATTTACTGAATGTTAGAGAATATGAAAAAAAATCTAATATTAAGGAAAGAGGAGAATAAAAGAACAAGAATTAAGAAGATAGATGTTGACGACTGCCATTGCATTTAATTTTTGTGCATCAATGTTGGCTGGCAAGCAAGACGGTAGAAAGTTCCACAAGCGAGAAGTACGAGAGAAGAAACTGTTAGCATAGAACTTACGGTTACAGCTAGCTACTTCAACTGTAAAATAATGAGACCTTACCGACAATCTAGTACTGCGCTTAAATCCATAAAGTCTAGGTAGCATAGAGGAATGTTCATGAGAAAAATTACCATAAAAGTATTTATTAATAAAAAAAGGCACAGGTAAGCTATTAGGTTGGTGCAAAAATAATGACGTAATAATGTCGTTTTAAAACGACATTATTACGTCATTATTTTTGCCCAACTCTATACTAAAGCCGAGATACCAGTTATTATTATTATTATTATTGTGTTTTAGTTTTGCCTTTGTGTCTTTGTGATGCCTAATCACGATATTATTATTGATTGTTTTGTCTGTGTATTTTGTCCATAACATTATTAAAGGTCTTATGTCTTTAACCAGGTGGTATTCTAATCACGATAAACGTTAATTTTTTATTTATTTCCTTTGATTTCTGGTGTGTACTCATTTCTCTCCGGGTCCCGACCAGAGACCTAAGGTCAGAAATGGCAGCGTGCCATTTTCCACTGAGCAGATTTGAAAAATAATTCCACACATTTTACATAGATACAGCCCTTCGAAAGGTGTGGGCTGTACTCGTGAGAACACTTTTTTTTTTCTATTTATTTAAGGCACAAGTCAACGAGTCTATTGGAACTCGAAGGTTCCAACTAGTATTGATGTCCTCATATGCAACATTTTTGAGATTTCGATTTCAAGGTCCTTGTATTTTGATAACTTCTTTGAAGATCTTCAAAGATACATTACAGCCTGCAGGGACTGCCATATCAATAAGGAGGCATTTTTTTTCAGTCTTTTGTTGTTTTTCCTTTGATTTCTGGTGTATACTCATTTGTTTCCCGGTGCCACCCAGTGACCTAAGGTCAGAAATTGCATCATCAAATTTTCCAATGAGCAATTATAAAAAAACACAAACATATTTTACATAGATAAAGCTCTTCGTAAGGTGTGGTCTGTACTCGTGTGAACAATTTTTCTTTTGTATTTCTTTAAGATATGGGTTACCAGGAATCCCTTCAGTGAGTCTATTGGAATCTTTTCCATATCAATCGGTGGGCTCCAACGACAACTGGAATTATTGATGTCCTCGTGTGCCACATTTTTGAGATTTCGATTTCAAGGTCCTTGTATTTTAATAGTTTTTTTTTTTTAAGATCTCCAAAGATACATTACAGTCTGTAGGGACTTCCATATCAACAAGAAGGCACATTTGGTCGTCGCGGTCTCTAATCACGATGCCTTGGCGATTACCTTTGATTGTTCTGTGTGTATTGTAGGGGTCCCAAAAATTATTACAGGTTTTATTATCTCTGTAACCGGGTCTGGGTGGTGTTCATAACAATTTCTTTCATCATCATTATCTTCTTTGTTCAAATCGGATGCCTTGAGGACTGAGAGCAAGATTTTTTTGTATCTTCGCAGGCACTTTAAAATGCTAGAGAAACGAAGTACATGGCTTCCTTGTCTAATTCATGTTAACGGATCGTCAGGGAAATTTGTAATATATATAGGTGTATCTAGGTCTGCTCTACGGTTGTATTGAGCGCTTTTGTTAGTTGTTTACTCGTATCGGGGTTTTTTCTTTGGGCTTCAGACCTGCATCTGTGCGTTTTTTTTTTGTCGACAGAAGTCCATGTTTGTAGCTCTTTCTTTTTTTAAAACCTTTTTTTTCCCTCGAGATTGATTTGATTAGCAAATCAAAAATTCGAGGGTTTTTGAAACGAGTCTAGTTATCTCTCTCTCTCTCTCTCTCTCTCTATATATATATATATATATATATATATATATATATATAAAAGAACAGTAAGGTATATAATCCGGTGTTCTTATTGATATTTTTATTTTTTTAAAAATAATGCTGAATGTAAATTTACAGAGCATTAATATTATAAATTAACTGATTTAAAATATTTTTTTCGCTACACAGTAATAACCATGTTTCAAAAAGCTTTCATTTTTGAAACATTGTTATTACTGTGTAAAAATATTTTAAAAAAATTATTATATATATTTATATAATAAGTTAATTTATATATATATATATATATCAGATTTTTCATGAATCCCTTTAAATGAAAATTGTGTCACTAATCTTCTTTGAGAAAGCTAAAGCAAAATTTCATATTTTCAAATCTCCTGATTCATTTTTTCTTTATTAAAATTCACCCCAAAATATTGATCCATCTCAAAAGAAAATGAATTTATATTTACTAAAACTCACACCAAATTCCCCCAGAGCGATGGCCTTCCATTGCACTCCGGTTGGGTTGACCTTTGTGATCACCTCAAACGTGGGCAACTTGGGGGCGCTATTTCTAAGTATGGGGTCTGCATTCGCGCTCACCCCCGATAAAGAAGCCAAAAACGGATTTTTTTTTAAATTTTTTAAATTGTAAAAAAAATTCCTTGTAAGTACCACGAATAACATTCGCACTTACGAA